GTGGTAGGTACTGTCCTCTGTATAAGACATTACACTTTGCAGCTACTGGTCATTACATATCCCATGATACTGGTTGTAACCCTGGCCTCCTTTTAGTTACCCCTTAATTTAACTGAGGAAATACATTTTGTCTTCTCCACTTCATCTGCTCTATAGTAGTAGATGACTGAGCTTAAACTGTACATCAGCCACAGTAGGTGGGTGCTTCACTTCAGTGGTGATGAACTTGTCCTCCTATATGAGCAGTGGTTTGGGACCCTTTGTGATGAAAAGTATTATTTCAATTAAATAAATTATCATCATCATCATCCTTCGGCAGGGACTGAAGCACAATGTCCATCAGAATGCAGAACTGAGATGTTTTGCGGTTTGCATTGTTTGTAGGAGAACGGAGGGGAAGGGGGACCGGCTGATGCCCAGCACTGCAGATGTCAATATCTGTTTCCTCCCCCCTCCCCGGCTCAGCTCTGATCTCAGACCATTGATCAGAAAATAAACCTGTAACCCCTGACATCTGATTCCCTTATTGATCGCTTCCTCTTTTTGTATGGCATAGGAAAAACAAAGGAAAAAATAAGCTGCACAACGATGTCTGCAAGAATATCCTTCTAAAATAGATTGTTGATCTCTCAGCAATATTGCAGGGCCCTTCTTTTTAGAGATCAAGCTGAGCTACCTCAATGACTGGAAGCAAGTTCATCCTGGGATTAACATATCTTTTAATGAGAAACACACATGCCCATAAGCAAATTCAGCCAAAAGACAATGGTGTGAGTTCTTATTCTGTCCCTTTACCCCTCCCCCGTTTCCTCTGTGATAATCATTTTGAATTTTCTATTCAGAAAGAATACTGCAATTCAAAAATTGTTCCTACTTAGTAAGAAAATGACACGTACATGAAAAAAGGACATAAAAGTCGTGTGAAAGGCCCGACACCACACTGCAAGCTTCTTCTGTGACAATTTAATGTATATTCCCTTTAAAAAAAGACACTTAATATTATGGTGGTAGGCGATAAGATAAATTCCTACATTTTAGTTTGTTAATCTGATTAATTTCAGCAATTCATTTTTTTACTAGCTTATTATTATCCTCATGCCCTGAAGAAAGGGCACATTTTTTAAACTAATGCTGGCTAGACAAATTCATTAACACCTCCTCCTACTGCCAAAACGTCTTCTATTTGACAAAATCCTTTTACATGTTGGCCTCTTAGATAAATGCGTAGTGAGCGAAATTGCCCCACACACTATATTGAAGTCAACAGCAGCAGGCTACCTCCTTCAAGCTGTAAAGTTATAATTAGGTGTCATTTTTTCCATACAGTAGGTGACCTTTCCCACTGTAATGAACTCCACAGAACTCACTGCAGCGAGGAGTCAGTGCTACAGCACAGAACGTACCATTTAAGAAGAGCTCACTGGAGAAGGACCATTTATAGCAGGCAAGCAGAGACAGGGGGGTGATTCAGACCTCCTGCTCTACCCAGTGTACGTGAAAACCTGTTTGTGTACAGACAATGAGGCTCTGTTCCTGCATTGTCCTTTGCTGTACTCATTGATTGACTCACACACACTCGTCCTTCCATTAAGGAGAGCTAGACTGCGTTACGCCTTGTGCATTTCTACGCGATGACCATTTTAATTGCACTGACGACCCAAAAAAACTCTCTGTGGCGGCACAAGGCAGAGAAGAAATGCCTCCGATGCGGGTGTCAGTACTTCCTGGATGGGAAGGGAAGTGGTGAAAGTCCAGCAGGAAAGGGGTGTTTATTTTCCATGACACTGACGGCAGCACACATGAATGCAGCTACCACTGCTGATGTCATCGTTTTCCAGACTCGGCTTCCTTTAAGTTTCTTTAAGAGTCTGAACTGGGCAGGCGGCAGCTGATGTTAAATAAATTTGACCTTTGAGTCAAACAAGAAGAGTTAGTCTTCTACATTTATATTGCAGAAGTCTGCATTTCTCTTCACTGCTCTTATCTGTGGGATTTTTTACCCTCTAACTTTTAAAACAGCTGCCTAACCTCTGAAAATTTAAAACAAAATCACACCCTAACCATAGTTTTGAAAATGTACTCAATATTTTGGCAATTCACCTATTAAATCAAGAATTTTTAATTTAAATATCGAGGTTAGTGATATCAAATTAATTAATCTTCCTTTCCCTTGAATGGAGTTACAGAATCTTTGATATTTTCTGGATTGCTCTTAAAACCTTAATCTCTTAAATTCTGTGTAGAAAGAAGAGAAAGAGGTGACTCAGAAGTTACACAGACAGGATGGAAGAATTTCTTCAATTGTTTCTCAAAAAGTAGAACTGATTTCTTTGACATTGCAGATAAGGCCTTCCTCAGAGACTAAGGTGCAAAATCTATAAGGCTGTAATATTTGTAGGACAGTGGTTTGTTGTCGTTAAATTTGTTAGTTTTGCTGGCCAGACACCAATACAAGAGTCTGCATTAATCATAAAACAGGTACAGAACAGAAACATATAACAATATGCAAAGCTTTGCTACTGTATACTGTATACAGTAGGAAGAAGTCAAATGCTTCCTTTCACATCACTTTTTAAAGTTTCCTTTGCAAATGAACAACAAAAAACTCCTCTCCCTTTTAAAACACTATGTACTGTTGATAAGTGCAGTGTATTTGTGCATTTCAAAGAAATTAACTCCATCTTCTCTTTTATTTAAACATCCGAACATTTGTCTCCTCCCTTTTTTGACCTGACACTTGTGATTCATTTATGGCCATTCCTACCTATTCTCTGGGCTTTTTATTCCTCCAGATAATATATTTGCATTAATATTTCATTAGGTAGTAATGTGATTACTTGCTCATTCTGCTACTGGCTTTTAACATGCGGCTTGCTTTATGGAGATTTCGTTACCATTCAGGGAATCATATGGATTGGTTATTAAAGACCTGATCTGGGATTAGGAACAACTGAACTGTAGGACTGTTTTTTTTCTCTCTATGTACATTGTTCTTCTGTTTCATCCATCGCACTAGTGAATCCTCAGATAGGATATTGTGTTCAGTTTTGGTCACTAATATGCAAAAAATATATTGCTGTTTTGGAATCAGTTTAGAGAAAAATTATCATATACATTCTTGGGCTTAAAGAAATGTCTTACAGTGACACGACAGATGAACAGATTACACTGTGAGAGAACCTGCCTCAAGTACTCAAACTCCTCAAAAGAGACAACAGTCAATCCTATGGACTTCCTCAGAATCAACAGGGTAACACCAGCTGGAAGTCACAAGTGGAAACTACAGAGAAGTGCATTTAAAACTGACAACGGGAGGAACTTTTTACATGAGTAATTGTGGGCGTCTCTAACAAGCTACCCACGTTGTTATGGAGGAAACCCGCGTTTCTATTAAGAAACGGCTGGATTATATCCTCAACTCCGACACTAAAAGTCATACAAGCCAAATGAGAGAAATATTCTTCGTCTTGTTGGTGAAAATGATTATATTCATTCTTATCCCAGCAGAACAAATCATTATAAATTACCCTGCAGCACTAAATCCTCACTTTTGATTGAGACAGATAGTTACTGGTTTCACTTGGCTACTTTATTTCAATTCAAATTGTATAACCCTGATCATCACTATTGGAAAAAAATATAAAACAAAACATTCAGTCACAGCTGCGTGACTGTCATATTTGTAAGAATGGTGGGAGGTTTATTTTGAAAAACAACCTTTTTGGCAAAGTCCCAATGGCAGAGGTGATGGTTTTTAAGTCAGTTGCAGCCTTCAAACGGCAGAAAATGGAAAAGATCTGAAACTGAAAGTTTGGATAATCTGTAAATAAGGTGGTTATTCACCAATACAGAACCATTTCACAGCATGAAGAGGTATGCAGCCATAGTCAAAATCTGGGAAATGAGTAACAGTGGAGGATCTTTAACCAAAAGGCAGAACATCTTTAATGTGGAAGCAAATAATTCCTAAATCCCACCATTTTAAGGTAAAAAGAAAATGAAAGATTCTGGATGCTAAATGAAATTCTTCTTCAATCCGAGTTTGTGTGTGGTATTGTAATGCTCAGAACACTGCCAGACACCAAGGCCAAGAAGCTGTTTTTGGACAGCGCAGGAGAACAACAATAAATGTTCCCTTGAAGAGGGAGGCCTTACCCACGGGGGTGTTAAATAAACATGTTTCATTTCCCCAAAAGCCACATGTTTCACATTATTCATGTGTTTTTCTTTTCTAGACCAACAAGTCAGAAAACAGTTAAATAAAAATCCCATTAATGTGCAGAGCCAGGTAAAGTAATTCCCCGAGTTGCTGCAGTGCTGAGCTCTCGAGGGGAGCTGAGAGAAACTGAGCTGAAAAAATCCATTGGCAGCATGTTTAATTGTCACTGAATTCCCAGTGGCCTGACTTTAAAAAACCATCCACAGGAAGAGAGCAGAGATGTTCGGAAAACATTTAGCAGATCAATATGCATAGAGAGCTGAGACCCACTCCAGTGTGCACTGAGGGACTCGGGTTATTTTTTTCCAGTCGGAATACTGTTACACTTCTATTAGTCAGACACAAGGATCGACCTATTCAGCATTTTTTTTTTTGTCCCTACCAACTGCTCATTGTTTACTGCTGTCTTACAGAGCTGAAACTCACTTGTGTTTTCCAATCTGTGGCCAACATTCCTCTCACTTTGGCAAGGCACCATGAATGTGCCACTAGGGCACATTTTTGAGATGACATCACACAGCCTTGTCTTCACGAATGGGAGTCTTTGATCTGATGTGAAAACGTTTTTTTTTCTCTCCAGCCGCAAAAAGCGAAGATCATGAAACGTGATTCGTGATTCCAAACCCAGCGAGTTTCAGTGGGCAGCGAAATGGCTTCATCTGCCAGGACAGCGATCAACTGCCCAGCTCTCTCTCCCGGAAATAATACACTGCTTGTTTCAGGACTCAGTATGACAGAGAGGAGAAAACAGAGAGATAAAAAGAGCAGAGTGTTGCCTTACCTTCTTTCAGCATCCCCACTTTGAGACACTTCATGAAACGACAGGCCTGACAAGACTTACGTCTTCTTTTTGTGATCTCACATTCGTTCGTGGCGGGACAGCTGTATTCTATGTTACCTGCCAGAAGAAGAAGATTTGATGACCTGAACTGACTACTTCTGGATAATGATGATTCATAATTTCCACATTATTACTGCAATTACTCACTGGCACTTATTAGTAATAATGATTGTTTCCCTGACATTCTAAAATCAATACTAATTTAACAGTAAATTAATATTCTAAAAAATGAAAAATCATGATGGTACTATAATTTATATTCAGCTCTAATGTGGGCAAATGTACAGTATGTGTGCCACTGTCTGTGCTGAAATGTGTTAAAATGCAAAAAAAAATTAAATAATCCATAATCCAAATGACCATTTGTGTTTTTTTTTGGGTGATCCTGCTGAAGTACATTTTGCATTGCAAACACTCTTTTGCAACACAAAAATGTTGTATTTTAACACTGGTTCATCATTGACTTTATTACTTTATTATTGTACTTTCCACATTCTATCCATTTAGTAGGTCCTCCTTTTCAAAGTTTATTCCGTAGAAAATAAAACATTGACTTTTAAACATGTAAACGTAAATAAAGTCACAAAGAATATACAAGCGCTGTTCGGTCAACACATTAAAAGCAAAAACATTTCTCTGGAAAAAAAAAACAAGTTGTTCTGCAATGTACAGTGCGTATTCATGTGCTTAGAAAACAACAATGAAAAAAAATCAGACCTAATAAGCACTTTCGCTTAGTTGTCAATGCAGAATAGCATATGCAGCTTAACTAGCACAGATATGGCAAAAAGAAAAATGACTTAAGCATGAACTTTTTGATTGTAGGAACATTTTAATAAAATTCTCTAGCCAAGGATTCTATTGTCTTAGTAAGTACGGTGAACAGAATGTCTGATTTAGTTTACACCTGCAATATTTACCCAACCACCTGCTGTCTCTCTTGTTATTTATGAATGCCTCTGCACTGCTCTGGCACTGGCCCTCTGCATCTCCTTGCTATTTTTTTTCCGTAAGGCTGCACATGTTTTAGAGAAACTGCTGATTTTGCTGTTACGCAACTGTGTTAAAACTGACGAAGGCCTTTGGAGGTCTTTCATTTAAGTCCATTGACTGAAAACAAATGAGATCTTTTCAAGAAAATGCAGGGAAAAAAAAAGTTTTTTTTTCTTTTAGTTTTGCTACGATGCAACTGTTTGGCGCAGTTACATGCCCTGATCCTGGATTTCTGCGCTCTAGGTTAACGAGCATGAATAGGAGGCTGAGGTACACAGGTGAAACATTATGCCGTGTTCTTGCAAACTGTGGAGACACAATTTTTAACTCCTCTTAGAAAGTCTGACTGAGCCTCTTGGGAAGGACTAAATGGAAACAAACCCTGGTTCTGCCAACCAAGATCTGAAACAGAGACAGATAAGAAAGCACTTTGTGTGTGTGTACGTGTGTCAACATCTGCCTATATAATTACTTTGATGTAGACTGTAGGGTCCACGATAGTAGAATCTAAGACAAATGGAGATATACACCTTGCAAGCCATGATCCAAGATGATCAGGAGAGATGCATGTTTTTAATTTACTTCAGATGAAACTTTAAACGCGGATTTGTTCCATTCCAGAGGGTTATGACTCTGAAAGTCCGACATTCAACTAGACATACTTAAATAAACACTTCACTCTGGCCTTCATTGATAATGTCTGTCCAGGCATCCAGGTGTATGCATGTCTTAACTGTGAGGGCAGTTTCGCAGCTCTGTGGATGAGCTTCTCCAGTGGCAGTACCAAGATGCCTCAGGATCAGATCTCTAAGTAACTCCCAGACATATGTGGAGCCTGCATGTAAAGGCTGGAGTCAGCTCTGCTGTCATTTTCACGTGTGCAGTGGTGCAATTTAAGATGATGCTTCTGGAGCCAGAGGATCATGTCTTACTGATCGCACAATGTCGCTCTCTTTCTTCAGCAATCTGATACATCTGTCAAAGAGCCATTCTCCAGAATATGGTGACCTCCTGAGACACCCTGCTGGAACTGTGTGGAGGTACTTGCAAGACCTCAATGCAAATGTCACTCTGCGTCTGTTAAATTAGCCTAATTAATTCAGAGCATGTCTTTTCTCAGCCCACCATTCCCTAAGATCTGAATTATGTTCCTCACTTCACAGGAGATCTCCTGCTTCGATAACCTAGCAGGGAAATGTGGACATATGGAATACGCAGACTACATTATTCTGAACAGAGCCTTGAAGATGTATTTTTGCGGCTATTATTTCCATTTATTCTTCACTTCAAACACTTTAGGGGCTATATTATTGTTGTCCCAGTCTCATATGAGAACAACAAAACACAGAAGGACCTACAAAATACTCAAGCCCATGAAATGGGTTGAAAGAAACACAGCATAAAGACTGTGCACACTGCGTACTTTGCATGGGAAAGTATGTAAGATGAGGGCATTTGCATCTTACCTTTGTAGTCATAGCAATAAGGGAAATTACAAAATGTAGTGAAACAGCGTTAGGTTTTGCGAATACAATTTTAATTTAATAAGACTGAGCTCTCATAGGTGAATCATCCATCCATCTGTGTTCTAAACTCTTTATGTGCTATGGGTTCACGGGGGAGCCGAAACCTTTCCTGGCTCAAGGTGGGGTACACCCTGAAGGGAATCCAGACCATCGCAGGGCAGGCAAACAGACACAAACACACACTCACTCACACCAGGGCCACTTTCCCATAACCAAATAACTTGCGTATGTCTTTAGACTGTGGGACAAAAGTCACGTAACTGCAGGGAGAATGTAACAACTTCACACAGCTAACCCCAGGAATTGAACCAAGGGCCCCAGCACTGCAAAGCCACTGTGCCGCCACAGGCAAACAATTTTCCATTGTGTTTTAGGAAAGAGCGATCAAAGAAATCACACATCCAAGCACTCGGAAATCTCCAAAACTAATAGGAAAATCTACCCTGTCATGCCTAATGCAGTATATGAACTAGGCATTACAGTATCATGCTCAGTGATACTGTATTGCAAACAGTATACTGTATATCCGGTGCACACAGGGCTTATGGTGTTCGACCACATAGAAATACAGTAGAAGATCCTGGCAGTGGGCAAGTGGTCATGCCAGTCACAGCAGTGCCATGCACACCCATAGGAACACCTGGACAGACCAAGGGACGTCTGTCACAAAATGAGGCTCCATGGGCAGGATGGCAGCAGGGTTTATCCCAAAAGATTCCCATGAACAGTGATGGAGTCTACTAGCAGAATCTGTATGTTACTCTGTACCCATATAGTGGTAGGAGCTGTGAACTCCTGCTGAATTCACATGCTAAACTCTAACCTACATGGTGGCTTAAACACAGATGCTTCTCCCTCCCTGTACTGAACTCCCCATCTTCTGTACTAAAGTCCCTGATGGGGAATGTTTACACTAAACTCCTGATAAGGAAGGAATGTTTTAAGTGCTTTCTGAGTCCTGGTGTTTCCTGAGAAAGCTACTGTACCTCAAAGACAGGAGGGGGAGGGTATAGAGAAAAGTATATATAAGCCGTGTAGAGCCATGTCCCCTCTGAGCAATACAACAATAAGCCTGAAATGTGTTGCTCCTTGTATGCATACAATAAAGCTTGGCTTGATCACAGGACACTTCAGGCTCGAATCTCTTGGTTTCTACAGCAGAAAAGCCAGGATTGTTGGTAACATTGTCAGGAAAGGAGTTGCTCAGGCTCTTTGGTATTTTCAGCACTGACTATTGCTCAGGTCCACATTTTCCATCCAGCTTTTGCTTGTCCAGAGTTCCTGTCACATTTTGCTGAATAGTAAAATGTTTGTTTTAATCAAAAATAACTTGAACGTTGTTTTGAAAGCACTTTATACCCCACATATGCTTCCTGTGTACATCATAAAGTATAGGCATATTTTTATTTTATTGCTCATGGTATTTTTATTTTAATCGGGGCTTGCTTGCTTGGTGATAATAAGAAAACTTGCTTGGTGATAATTCACTCAATGACACAAGATACTTTTACACTCATACTTACAGAAGTTAAAGATGAGCATTTCTATAAGAACCTTATGCATTGAAGAAAATCCCTGGATTTGTTTTTTACTTTTCTGTTGCAAATTTCTATTTAATTTTTTTAATTTTAATAAAACAAGTATATGAAAGCAATTTTGAGTAACCTGTATACTTAATTAATTTCGATTTCCATTGTAGTCTTAATCTAGACATCATCAGCACACTCCAGAACACCAAAATGACTTTTCCTACTTCTCCTACATAGTTCTAAGAAGCTGTCATAAGAGCACATAAAAAATTAAGTTTAAGTTGTGAAATAAAGGTTACATTGCTCACAATTCTCTGACTACACTGCTGTGAAAATATCATCTTAAGACATGATGCAAGATATATTGAAGAAACATTAAAATTCCGTAAATTAAAATAGTTTCTCTCAAGATTATCATGCTGTCTATACGTACCAAGAAGCCAAATCAGTGGAAGGAGTTTTCAATACCCCCAAAAGTTTAAATTTAATAATTGAATAGCTGTTAATTTATTTTGATTACAGTGCTGGACAGAGGAGAGGATAGACCTGCACTACAGACCATGTAATAACAATCAGAGACATTTGGAGTTAGGAGCAAAAATAGATCTGTCCTGGCTGGAGAACAGCTGAAATGAATTCTGAAAATTGAATACAATGACAAGAGCCTTATGTCCGGGATTCTTTCTTTCTGGTGATTAAACGTGCAAAAGGTTCATTCAGCAAGATCAAGAAGCCATAAAGTTAAAATAAGCATAAAAGCACTGCCGCTTGACTGCTTAGCAGGGAAGTGATAGAAAAGATCATAGTAGCCCGTTAACCCTTTGAATTGCTCTTTAACAGCTGCCACAGGACTCATTCAATGGTGCTTGGAAGTAGTTATTGGCCCTAATGCTACCCTGTGTTTGGTAAAGTACGTTCTAGAGCACTGCTTAAAGGAGACTTCTGCTGCACCATTTCAATACAAGCAAAAGATCACAAATGCTTCAAAACCTTCCCTTCTTGTGACTGG